ATCGTTTTAGAAGGAACAAAATGTCGTGAGTTCACAACAAGGAGAAAAGGGGGGTCACACGACGGTAAGGTCACTTGCAAACATCGAGATACTGACTAAACGAACGCTGCGAGGAGACTGAAAGGCTGCAAAGAAATATGAGATGTTCCAGCTACATATAAAGAGCTTACCAATAAACAAAAACGCAACAAAGGGATCCTAAAAGACCCAACAACAAAATCTTGACGGGCATAACAGAAAAATTGATTCGGTGGAAAATATACATTGGGTTGGGTTGGAAATTCGAATTGAAAAATTTTTTAGACAATTATCAATGAGCCAACTCTCAAAATTACAAAAACTACAAAACACAAAAAGGCATTTAACAAGCCTTATGATCAGAAATGGCAAGCTGGAGATCCATACCAAATATATGCAGAAACCTTGAAAATAATTGCAGAAAAAGATGGCCAATGTCTGATCGCGTTGATATCCCTGTTCAATTCTATCTATGAAACCTGATGAATCCCAGATTATTGGCTCAAATCAACATTCATCAGCCTACCTAAAAAGCTAGCGCCACTCAACGTGATGATTACCGTATATTAGCAGTGATGCTCAATTCAGTGTTAAAATGGCATGGGAATACGTGGCCCTATTTTCATTAATTAGCATCGCTAATGATATACAGGATGTTTCTAAATGTCGGGGTTTTAACGCTTTGTGGTGTTTATTACATGAAACTTAAAATTAATTCATAATTACTACATGAAGTGAAAAAGTAACTAAAACAGTTTTGTTTGTAGGTATGCGCATGCGCTAGAAAGCTTGTGAGCATGCCTTAGAAAGCGGTAGTAGCAAGAATGGCGACTAGAGAACAGAAAGCTTTTTATGTTCTGCAGTTTGCAAAGTCCGAATCCTTAGTTACTGTGCAATGTGCGTTCCGGATTAAGTTTAAATGTGGTTCCCCAAGTGATACTAACTAGTAACTACGTCAGTTTGAAAATACCGGTTGCCTTTATAAAGGGTAAAGTACGGGACGACCAAGGGATAGTGAAGAAAGTGTTGAGCGAGTGAGAGAGTCTTTCCGACGAAATCCATTTGGAAGGCTAATCGTGAATTACCAATTCCGGTGACGCCTGTTTGGAAAGTTTTACGGAAACGGTTACAACTAATCCGTATCGTAACCGTATTGTTTTCAGTTATTACAGGTTCTAAAGCCTACAGATCATGGTTTACGTGCCAAATTTGCACATGAAGTGTTGTTGCATGACGATTTTTGGATCATGTTGTTCATTTCACATCACTGGACATCTGAAAACTCATATTATGCGCATGTGGGCCTCAGAAAATCCTCAGGAGATTGTGAAATTGCAACGAGACTCCCCTAAATTGAATGTTTTTTGTGCCATATCTCGGCGGAAAGTGCATGGACCTTTTTTCTTTAGAGAAGCAACTGTAACTGGTATTTCCTATCTTCATGCTCTACAACTATGGCTGTTTTCCCAATTGGTAGAAGACGAACCAAATAACTTAATTTGGCAGCAAGATCGTGCATCGCCTCACTAGCATAAATCGCGTATCGACTTGAAATGTGCCGTGTGATGAATGGTGGTCACATAGAACACTTGTAAGCTTGTAGCTATAACTGTTTGAGTTACTCTTTCATTTCAAGATTTAAGTATTATTTTAACTATCATGTAATAAATACTACAAAGCGTTAAAACCCTGATATTCATTTAGAAACACCCTGTACTTTAAGTTTATCCTTTTCCCTCGCATTGTCTGTTATTTTATAAAGTGGGCTATCAACGATCTTCCAGTGGCGTTTCAGCTCAGACTGAGCCTTAACCTCGTTCAATTTATGCCGCACGCCAATTCCTTACTTCAAGTAACTCCAAAGCATCCCTCTTTATGTAACTTTTCCATCGCGTTCGAGGTCTTCTTATTGATTGGGTTGTGGCCAATTAACCTGTCATTACTCCTTTTGGAACCCTTCTTTCATCCATTTGTTCCACGTATCAAACTTACTGAAATCTTCGAATCTTTACAAATCTCACAATATCGAGGGCCTTGTATATCGCCTTCGTTTATTGGACCAGCGATTTTCCTTAATACCCATTTTAGCTTTTTTTATGGTGCTTTTTACCTCCTCCAAGCTCGACGCACTTATTTGGGGTTGTACCGTTTAAATCTTTTCTACTGTTGTTCCCTCAAAATACTGCTTCTATATATCCAGCACCTGTTAAAGAGTTAAAGTGTTCCATTTACATAAACTTATGTTTTGTAGATTTTTACTAGAGGAAACATTCATTACAACAAAAATTAAAATTTATGAAACGTTTGAAATCGTTTAAAACAATTTTAAACCACTTACAATGATGTACATTTTTATGATTATTAATGTGAAGATTAAATAGGCATTTAAATAATAGTGTAAATGAGTTAATTTTTATGATTATTTACCTGAAGGTTAGGGCATTTAAATAAATTATCCTGCTCAAAACCACGGAATAAGGTATTGATCCAATTTCGGATGGAAAATTTTAATGACGTTCAAATGAGAAGGGGTAATCTAGTATGATACCATAAATACGAGTTGATATCAATCATTTCTGGTCATTTATAAACGAAATTCGATATCGTTTGTGTATATAATAACGTTCAGAAATAAAATAATTCAAGATATAAACCCGTGTTTTGTTGGTAATCAAATCTGATCTCGGTTTAATAATAGTGACATTTTTAAATAATTTCTTTATTTTTTCCAATCTGTAAATACAAATTTTATACAGTTCCATACAGACTCAAGAAATCAACGAATATTTTGTTAATTAGAAAAAGATATTGTTTATTTTCTTAAATAGAATGGTTCCAAAATTGACATACTTTAATGGAAGGTGGTTGGCTGAGTTAACACGTCTCCTCTTTAGCTACGGTGATGTGGAGTTTGAAGATATTCGTGTAATTCCAAGTAGTAGCGAATGGGAACGTTTAAAACCTAGTACGTATACCTACGTAAATTCTTATATAAAAGAATAATTTCAAAAAATATTGTTAAGACTTTTTGTGATATACTACTTGATTATCTTATAGAAACCCCATTTGGTCAATTACCACTTTTAGAAGAAAATGGAATAGTTGTGTGTCAAAGTACAGCTATCGCTAGGTATGCAGCTAAAAAAGTTGGATTAATGGGAGCTAACGATTGGGAAACTTTGGAAATTGATGCTATCGTAGACACAATATCTGATTTGAGATTTAGTAAAAAAATATTTAATATTTTTTTTTATTTATTTGTTATATTCTTTTAATTTTAGAAACATTTCGATTTGTTTATGAGACAGATGAAACAATAAAAGAATCAATGAAGAAAACATCTATGGAAGAAACACTTCCCTATTATTTAGAAAAATTGGATAAAATCGCCAAAGAAAATAATGGTTACATGGTGGCTAAAAAAGTATAAATTTATAACTAATTTTATTATCACTACTAAAATCTAAACTTATATTTATTTTTTTAAGTTAACCTTGGCTGATTTCGCATTAAAAGTTATTCTTGAAAATATTGAAGCTTTTGCTGGAAAAACCCCGTATGAAAAGTATGAAAATTTAATTGCTGTTAAAAATAATGTTGAATCAATTCCAAATGTCAAAAAATGGATTGAAACTAGACCTGTTAGCGAATTTTAAAATATTTTTATAACTTTCAAGAATAAAGTTTATTTTTTCCACATGATAGTTTAAATTCAACCGAATTAAAAAAAAACTTTTTTTCAATAAAAATTCATATTCAATAAGGCGCTTTTGTCGGTTCGCATTTTAGACTATTTGAAAAAATAGAAAAACATGTTGCATCTGGGTGGCACAAAGAATCTTGTATTATGGCAGCAACTTTTAAATCTGTAATGGAACACAAGAGGAAGTCATTTTATAAATCGTTATTTGCGGTATGAAACAGGTGGAGGAGAATAGAAAGCAACTTCTTGATCATTTCAACTATAATATTTTGTAGAACTTTCGTTTTTGCTGTCCGTGGGAAGCAATCATTCCGGAAATTTTGTAGACTCATTAAATTTTAGTGTGTTGCAAGATCATTTTCTCAAAATTTAGAATAATCAATCAAGCCAAGCTGGGTTTAAAAAATCATAGCAACGATGTTTCTCGATGTGTCTTTCGTCTCTTTTTTATCAGAACAGTACAAGGTCCAGCTATGAAATCTGACGGTTTTTGAATGTGGATTGGGTTGGGTTGGATTGAGTTGGGTTGGATTGAGTTCACTATCCATTAGTGAGGGAATCTCAGTCGGTGGGCGTCGATCTCGTTTACTTCTGCTGAATTAAAAATTTACTTACAATGGAGGTTGGACAAGTAAAGACCGTGTCTTCATCATCGAGACGTTTCGCAGAAATTATGATCCTAATGGACCGATGTCATCTCAAACCGCTACTGTCTTTGGTTAACAATGAACCTCTTGGAACAACTAGAAGAAAAAGCGGTCCCATAGGATGGTAAGGTCACTTGCAAACATCAAGATACTGGCTAAAAGGAACGCTGTGAGGGGATTGAAGGACTGCAATGGAAATATTGATGTTTCAGCTACATAAAAAGAACAAAGAGCTTACTAATAAACAAAAACACAACAAAGGGATCTTAAGGCCGCCATCTACAAAACCTTGGTGGGCGTATGGAAAAATTGATTCGGTAGAAGCAATAATATGAAGAGCTTTCTTTATGACAACACAAGCATCAATGAGTCAGGAACCAAAATTACAAACATTACAATGTTAAATTCCATCTATGAAACCTGAAGAATCCGAGATAATTGGCTCAAATGCTGAATTATTGAATTAACTTGCGAAAGACACTTCAGTGATGCTCAGTTCCATTTTAAAAATGGCATGGGATCACGACAAGCTTATTTGAAGCCGTTTTGTGTTTAGCCACTTTATGTACAATTGTTCTTCTTTTTCTGCGAGATCTTCTATTAATTCGTTCTTCCATATTTTATTTCTTTTATTTTTGTTTCTTATGTTTAATGTTTTATTGGCTGCTTGATGTAGGCTGTATCTCATATTATGATTATTTTCCTTAAAAGACAATCCTGTGGAGATTTTTAGTTTTTATCTAGTTTTGTTAATACAAATACTGAGTACTATCATCTTGTGAGCTATTTCAGTTGAACTGTATTCCAATATTTTCCAAGTCTTTATTTAGTCTTTATTGATACGGTGACAATCCACACGTGTTTCCTTTTTGTACTGATATCATGTATATGCAGTTTTGAGTATTGTTTGACGATGTCAATTATGGACTTTATGTCTGGTGTCTGTTTTTCCCAGGCGAATCTGTATACCAATATTAGAATAGGATATTGAGACTCCTCTTTTAGCCCTTTGATCCTTAGGCACTCCACTATACATATAAATGTAGATAATTATTTGCCATTTTAGTTCATGTTCCTTTTCTTTTGTTCTCTGTTAGAATTGTTATATCTATATTAAGTTTTCCCATTTAAAATGTGATCTCTTCCAACTTCTCTAATTACAACAAAAAATAAAGTTTATGAAAGGACTAAAATCGTTTAAAGCAATTTTAAACCACTTACAATTGTGTAAATGAGTTAATTTTTATGATTATTTACCTGAAAGTTAGGGCATTTAAATAAATTATCGTGGACAAAACCACGGAGTAAGGTATTGATCTAATTTCGGATTGAAAATTTTAATGACGTTAAAGAAAGTGTAAAGAGAAGGGGTATCGAGTATGTTGCCATAAATAAGTTGATATCAATAATTTTGTGTTCAGTTACAAACGAAATTTGATATCGTTTGTTTTTATAGTAACCTTCAGAAATAAAATAATTCTAAATATAAACGCGTGTTTTGTTGGTAATCAAATCTGACCTTGGTTTAATAATAGTGACATTCTCAAACAATTTCTTTAGTTTTTTTCAAACCGCAAAAACATAATCACAGTTCTATAGAGATTCAAGAAATCAACGAATATTTTCTTAATTACAAAGAGGTATTGTTTATTTTCTTAAATAGAATGGTTCCAAAATTGACATACTTTAATGGAAAGTGGATGGCCGAGTTAACACGTCTCCTCTTCAGCTACGGTGATGTGGAGTTTGAAGATATTCGTGTAATACACAATAGTAGCGAATGGGAAAGTTTAAAACCTAGTAAGTATAAATATAAGTTAAAACAATAATATTAAAAATACTGTTAAGAAAATTTTATGACATAATTGATTACCTTTTAGAAACCCCATTTGGTCAATTACCACTTTTAGAAGAAAATGGAAAAGTTGTGTGTCAAAGTACAGCTATCGCTAGGTATGCAGCAAAAAAAGTTGGATTAATGGGAGCTAACGATTGGGAAAATTTGGAAATTGATGCTATTGTGGATACAATATCTGATTTGAGATTTAGTAAAAAATATTTTATTTTTTTTATTGTTTTGTTACATCTTTTTTAAATTTTAGAAATGTCTCGATTTGTTTATGAGAAAGATGAAACAATAAAAGAATCTATGAAGAAAACATCTATTGAGGAAACACTTCCTTATTATTTAGAAAAATTGGATAAAATCGCCAAAGAAAATAATGGTTACATGGTGGCTAAAAAGGTATACGTTTATAATTAATTTAGATTATCACTACTAAAATTATATTGATTTTTTTTTAGTTAACTTGGGCTGATTTTGCATTAAAAGTTATTCTTGAAAATATTGAAGTTTTTGCTGGAAAAGCCCCCTATGAAAAGTTTGACAATTTAATTGCTGTTAAAAATAATGTTGAATCAATTCCAAATGTAAAGAAATGGATTGAAACTAGACCTGTTACCGAATTTTAAAATATTGTTATAACTTTCAACAATAAAGTTTAGTTTTTCCAAATAATTCTTTAAATTCAACCGAATTAAAACGAAATTTTGTTTCAATTACAATTCATATTCAATAAGGCACTTTTGTCGATTCGTATTTTAGACAGTTTCTTCTTCTGCTTTCTCCACTCAGACTTAAAGCCTGTTCTTCGTCAATGATGCCCCTAATCTGAGCGCAAATTGTCGCTCCATCTTTTCCTTAGTCGTCCTAGACTTTTACATTTACCTAGCGGCGATTTATCCGTGGCCTTTTTCACTATCTATCTTGTTCCATTCTTTCTATGTATGCATTCAATTCTTTCTTGCGTTTATGTGTCCAATTGTTGACATTTTCCACTCCACATAATGTTCTTAAGTCTTCGCTTCTTTCTCTATCGTATAGAGTTTTACCGGTGATTCTGCTAAGTATCTTTTTAGACGTGTCAGGTCTAGTCTCAACCGTATAGGTCATGATGGTGCTCTTATATCTTCTCGATTTAGTGTTAATATGTAGATGTTTGTTCTTTCGTAAAGTGTCGTTTAAGCAGCCTGCGAGTTTACTGGCTTTCCTGACTTGTTGCGATACTTCCTCGTCAATATTACCGTAACTTGATAATTTAACTCTCAAGTACCTGAATGCCACTTCCAGCTTACTTATTGATCATCCATTTTGTAGCCCCTGCTAGTCTTAACTTTTGTTATGATTACATCCATCACAAGATTGAATAGTAGAGATACTATGAATCCCCTTGTCGAATGCCAGCATTTACAGGTATTTTTTTAGTGAGTTTTGCATTTATCCGTTCTTGTATGCTGTTATCCGCGGTTGCAAAGCAGTTTTTAGATATCTTTTAATCTGATCTTATCAAAGACGTTTTCTAAATCAATGAAACATAAGAATGGGGGTTTAGTATATTCTATTGACTTTTCTACGACTTGTCTCGTCACGAATACAGCATCTGTAGATATTAATTTATTAGGATTACATAAATGAAACAGTGTATTAAAAACCGATTGAAAATCTTGCAGAACTGTTCCACAATATTTATACAGCAGCAGAAGAAATAAATATAGAGATTTGCACAACTAGTAAAAAGATCTTTTCTGCGACGATGCAGAGCTTGTATTAGTGCCGACGGCAAACAATTTGAGCATTTGCTTTAGTTTTAAGAAAATAATGCTATAAAATTAATAATAAATAAATCAATAATTCCTTTTATTTGTTTAATTTTGTCTTTAGATTAACCTTATTTGAAACAATACTTTTGCAAGATATCTTGTTGTGCCTTGACTGGCACATCTTCTAACAAAGTTAAGAGGAAATAAAAAGTAAATATAAATAGCATACGAAAGTATGAATTTTTTAAATAACGTGTTTTTTGCAGAAAAACAGGCAGTAATATTAATTCAATAATATTCAAAATAAATTAATAATGGGATTAAAATTATTATTAATAATTTCCATTATGTTTCACGTTGGGATCTCAGAAAATAGGTATCAAGCATGCGGAGATAAGTTGGATAATCTATTGTCTGCGGTTTTTAATACTTTTTCTTTCTCGAAGAGAAGTATTGATGATAACCGTAAGTGCAATATTTTATTGAGAATATTTATCTACAAATTTTGAAAATATGTACGATTTTATTTTAGGATATATGGAAAATATAAAAAAGGCATATCCATCAGAATATAATACTATAAATGACTATTCAACAAATAAATATAACTCTATGGTTCATTATCGTAAAGCAAGAAGTAGTATCACTTATCTTTGTTGTCTGAAGGAATGTACCATAGGACAGATTAAGGAGTTTTGCGGATAACTAATAACACCATTTTGTTATAAAAAACTTATATCTTAGTAATTGACTAGATAGCCTAAATATAACAAATTTAATTTACTGATTAATACAAGAGAAAATATATTAAACAAGTTTACAGATTTACAGTTGAAATGATGACTATGGAAAATAAGAAATTATTTATGGAGCATTAAATCTTCATGAAATTTGCTTAACTACAACATTCAAAAGTGTACATCATCAGTATAAAGTCTGTTTCCAACAATCTGTATAGCTATTTTATTTCTTTAGTAACCATTCTGTGAAGACTACTTTATTAGGATTTAATAATGCTAGTGAGGCGATTTCGGCGGTTTGCATTTTAAACAATTTGAAAACATACAAAAAAAAACATGTTATATCTGGGTGGTCACAAACACCGTGTATTATGCAGCAACTTTTAAATCTGTAATGGAAAGGACACAGAAGGAAGTCATTTTGATAGATACCATTTTGAATTTTATCTCAAAATTAATAATATAATTGACATCTCCGGCTAAAAATACTTTTTTTAATGATTCTAACGATATACTATTTATTCTTTTAATTTGCATAACTGTTCAACATAAATAACAACACTGTTTAATAATAAAATTCAAGTTAGTCATTATTCTTTTTTGTTTTAATTTCTAAGTAATCGATATAATTATTTTCTTTTGGGTTGTTGATGGTTCGGGACATCGGTATCTTATTTTTCTTCCTGTACTTCAATTCTGTAATGGCATTTTTTAATCTATTTAGTATTCCCTTTCTTATTAATATAATATTTGATGCTCTTCGATTTATATCTGGTTAGATAACTGACATGCCTTGTTCCTGTAAGAACATTTTTCTTCTCTTTTGGCAGAAACATTTCCAGCCTAATCAGTACTTTTGTACTGATTACGCATTGTATGCCGCAATGTCCAAATAACTCATAAACAATGTAAATGGCCATCTTCTAGTAGTTCTGCAGCAACTATATTTTCGAATGAGTTTGTCCAAGAGGTCAATTTCAATCTTTTTCTTTTTTTTTATTGTATTCCAAGACAATATTTTAATTTGTAATCTATTTCGCAATTACTTATTTCGTGTGTATGTTGCATATAATTATGTGATTTATTTTTGTTTAACATTAACGAAATACGTGTCTTTAGTTATTTGAGTTTTTTATGAAAACGACCATGTTTTTTAAAAAATAATAAGAGTAAAAAAAATTTTAGAATTACATTCCACATGAAATGAGGTAATAATGTATTAAATCCACTAAAAGGTTAAAAAAATCTGTCAAAATTTAGGGGCCCATCACTCTTAATCAACCCTTTGAAATGCCTCAATTGGTCTCAATTTGCTACCAATTAATACCTTCGGTACACTCATAACGTATACAAAATTTCGTTTTTCTAGCTTAATGTATTACGAAGATATTCAATGTTTTAAAAATTTAAGACCCAATTTTGAAGGCCTATAACTCTTCAGGGGTACAACTTAGTATAGAGATAAGTTGCGTTAAATCATCTTAATTTATTGTCCTCTACATGTTCCTACTCTGTGTCGGTTCTTATGTGAATCACCCTGTATTTCACAAGAACAACCGGAGACATTAATAAACAGATTGGTATATTATATTCACTATGTATTTTTAAGTATATTCGCCAATCTTCGGTTCTTCACTTTCATTAATCAATGAAATAAAAGATTTTTAAGTTAAGCTTCTAATAACATGTAAACGTAAAACTATTTTTTTGATATCTTTTGCAATTTATTATATTTCATGGTTTTGCTGTACTCCTCAATTTGTTCTCTGGTATATAATTTCTCACAACATTCATCAACAATACTCTTCGTTGACGGTAATGAATCATAGAATTATATTTATTTGCTGAATTATACACTCATAATATAATTTTCTAAGGGATACGCCTTTTCCATATTTTCTTTGTATCTTAAAATAGAAATGCTACACATTGTCAGACCTAGTACGTTAATATTCTCAAAATAATATTGTACTTACTGTTATTATCAATACTTCTAATATTTCTATTCGCGACGACAGAGTTAGTCGTGTTACCTACACAATTCAGTAGTGTATTAGTCAAAGCTTGTCCACAAGCATGATATATCTTCTCTGAGATCTCAACGGTAAACACAATGGAAAGTATTACTAATAATTCTAATCCCATTATTATTTTAGTTTTAATATTATTGAGTTAATATCTCTATCGGGAAACTAAATAGAATATGCTGACAAGTAGAACAAAAGTAGTACCTAGCAAATTTTATTCTTAACAATTCTGCGCTCTCGCACCTACGTTCTCAGATGCATAGATATCGAGGAAAATACGGAAATATGAAAATTTGATGAAAATCTTTGTTTTGTTCCGGAAATTGTTCCGTAAATTAAAAGAATTCAATTAATTGATTACAGATTTCCCTGAGTCTCAGGGTAACGACCCGACCTTGACTAGAATAATACAAGAGCTTCACAAACCATACAATAACGAAACTAAATTTGTCTTATTCCGAGATTTATTGTTTTGTCGGCACGATGAGGCTGAATTGCGTTTTTGCATCCCGAAGAAGTACATTGATACTATCACAAAATACTATCATGAACATTTAGGTCATTTCGGTGTGTATAAAACTTGGTGTTCATTGCTTTCCCAATAATTAAACTTAATTTTTATTCTTAACAATTCGGCTCTCTCGCACCTTTGTTCTCAGATGCATAGATATCTAGGAAAGTACGAAAATATGAAAATGTGATGAATATCGTTGTTTTACAAGCTGTTAATGGTAACACTCAGGAATCGAAACATGCTACAAAAAAAAACTTAGGACAAAAGTTGTAGCATATTTTATTCTTAACAATATTGCTCTCTTTCACTTTGTGTTCTCAGATGCATAAATATCGAGAAAAATTCGTTGTTAATGCTGCATGTTGTAACCCTGCTTAAAGGTTATGGAAGAAATAATCTTCGACGTCTTCGAAGACGTCGGCTGACGTCCTCAGCAGAGATTACTTTTTATAGCACGAACAATTCTTGGGGCATCGAGATATACTATATTTACTGGAGTGCGTGCTTTGGACTAAAAAACGAGCTGGTCGACTCGACGACTTCCCCCACCCTATAACGGCAAGAAGCTTCAGTTCCGTATGTAACATATAGGTGTTAACGTGTTGTTTAAGTGAATAAAGATTGCATTAAATACATTTTTTTATAAACT